AAATAGAAGCAGTAATAAAAAAAAAACTCCCAGCAAACAAAAGCCCTGGCTCGGATGGCTTCACAGGAGAGTTTTATCAAATATTCAAAGAAGAGTTAACACCTATCCTCCTCAAACTATTCAAAAAAATCCAAGAGGAAGAAACACCAAGCTCTTTTTATGAGGCCAGCATTACCCTAATTCCAAAACCAAATAAAGACACTACAAAGAAAGATTCACAGGTCAATATCCCTAATGAACATAGATGCTAAAATCTTCAACGAAATATTAGCAAATCGGATCCAGCAATATATTTAAAAGATCATACACCACTACCAAGTGGGATTTATTCCAGGGATGCAAGGCTGGGACAATATTTGCAAATCAATAAATGTGATACATCATATAAACAAACTGAAAGACAAAAATCACATGATCATATATATAATTGATGCAGAAAAAGCATTTGACAAAGCCTAACACCCATTTTTGATATAAAAACTCTCAGCAAAGTTGTAGGAATCACACCCTCAACATAATAAAGGTCACATATGACAAACCTACAGCCAACGTCATACTCAATGGGCAAAAACTAAAACCATTTCCCCTAAAAACTGGAACAAGACAGGACTTTCACCACTTTTATTCAACATAGTACTGGAGGTCCTAGCAACAGCGATCAGACAAGAAGAAAAGATAAAAGGCATCCAAATTGGAAAGGAGGTTGTAAAACTGTCATTATTCACAGATGACATGATATTGTACATAGAAAACTCCAAAGACTCCACCAAAAAACGACTAGACTTAATAAAGGATTTGGGCAATGTATCAGGATACAAAATTAACACCCAGAAATCGTTGGCATTCTTATACACCAACTAGAGGTCCGGTGCATGGATTCGTGCACAGGTGGGGTCCCTCAGCCTGGCCTGCATCCTCTTGCAATCCAGGACCCCTTGGGGGATCTTGGACTACTGAAACCCAGCAGTCCAACATCCCCTCGAGGGATGTAGCAGTGCTGAAGCGGCAGGTGGCTGCCGCTCATCCTGGCCCTGCTGTGTCTGCTGCCGCTCGCTGTCGCGGACATGGGAGAGGCTCCCACCACCACTGCTGTGCTCGCCAGCCATGAGCCCGGCTTCTGGCTGAGCAGCACTCCTGCTGTGGGAGCACACTGACCACCAGGGGGCAGCTCCTGTGTTGAGCATCTGCCCCCTGGTGGTCAGTGTGCGTCATAGTGACTGGTTGACGGGTCGTTCTGGTCGTTTGGTCGTAATGGTTGTTTAGGCTTTTATATATATATATATATAGATAGATAATGAATTCTCAAAAAGAAAAACTAAATATATCCCATTTAGTTAGAAACATCGATGAGAGAGAAACATCGATCAGCTGCCTCCTGCACATCTCCTACTGGGGATGTGCCCGCAACCCAGGTACATGCCCTTGACCGGAATCGAACCTGGGACCTTTCAGTCCGCAGGCCGACGCTCTATCCACTGAGCCAAACCGGTTTCGGCTGCTTAGGCTTTTATATATATAGATAGATAATGAATTCTCAAAAAGAAAAACTAAATATATCCCATTTACCATTGCTACAAAAAAATTTAAGATATGCAGGAATAAACTTAACCAAGGAGGTAAAAGACCTGTACTCAGAAAACTATAGAACATTGAAAAAAGAGGTAGAAGAGGATATAAACAAGTGGAAGAATTTACCGTGTTCGTGGATTAGTAGAATTAACATCATTAAAATGTCTATACTACCCAAAGCAATATATAGATTCAATGAAATCCCTATTAAATTGCCAACAGCATACTTCACAGACCTAGAACAAACACTCCGAAAATTTATATATAATCAAAAAAAGACTCAGAATAGCCGCAACAATCCTGAGAAAGAAGAACAAAGTTAGAGGGATCACAAGACCAGATATCAAGCTATACTACAAAGCCTGGTACTGGCACAAGAACAGGCATATAGATCAATGGACGAGAATAGAGACCCCAGAGGTCGACTCAAGCCATCAGGCTCAATTAATCTTCACTAAAGGAGGCAAGAGCATACAATGGAGTACAGACAGTCTCTTCAATAAATGGTGTTGGAAAATTGGACAGATACATGCAAAAAAAAAAAAAAAGAAATTAGACCATCAACTTAGACCATACACAAGAATAAACTCAAGGTGGATAAAATATTTAAATGTAAGTTGTGAAACATAAAAATCCTTGAAGAAAACAGGCAACAAAATATCAGACATCTCATGTAGCAGAATTCTCACTGATACAACGCCTAGGGCGAGAGAAACAAAAGAAAAAAATAAATGGACTACATCAAAATAAAATAAAAAGCTTCTGCAAAGCAAAAGAAAACAGCATCTAAATGAAAAGGGAGCCCATTGTATGAGAGAACATATTTGCCAATGGTATATCTGATAAGGGGTTAATATCCAAAATATATAAAGTGCTCATACAACTCAACAAAAGAAAAACAACCCAATAAAAAATGAACGGAAGACCTGCATAGACACTTCTCCAAAGTGGACATATAGATGGCCACGAGACATGGAAAAATGCTCAATGTCATTAATCATCAGAGATGCAAATTAAAATGACAATGCGGTACCAGCTCACACCTATCAGCATGGCTACCATCAACAAACCTACAAATAGTAATTGTTGGAGAGGATGTGGAGAAACAGGAACCCTAATACCCTGACTGGTGTAGCCACTACGGAAATCAGTGTGGAGTCTCCTCAAAAAATTAAAAATGGAACTGCCATTGGACCCAGTGATCCCAGTTCTAGTAATACATTCTAAGAAGCCTGAAACACCAATCAGAAAGAACATATAGCCCAGCTGGCATAGCTCAGTGGTTGAGCATCAACCTATGAATCAGGAGGTCACAGTTTGATTTCCAGCCAGGGCACATGCCTGGGTTGCAGACTCAATCCCCAGTGTGGGGCATGCAGGAGGCAACTGTTCAATGACTCTCTCTCATAATTGATGTTCCGAGCTCTCTCTCCCTCTCCCTTCCTCTCTGAAATCAATAAAAACATATTTTGAAAAATAAAAATTAAAAGAACATATGCACACCTATGTTCATAGCAGCACAACTTACAATAGCGAAGATCTGGAAACAGCCCAAGTGCCCATCAGTAGATGAGTGGATAAAAAAGCTGTGGCACATTTACACCTTGTAATACTATGCAGCAGTAAAAAAGAATGATCTCTTACCCTTTTTTTAAAAAAAAATATTTTATTGATTTTTTACAGAGAGAAAGGGAGAGGGATAGAGAGCCAGAAACATCCATGAGAGAGAAACATCGACCAGCTGCCTCCTGCACACCTCCCACTGGGGATGTGCCCACAACCAAGGTACATGCCCCTGACCGGAATCAAACCTGGGACCCCTCAGTCCGAAGGCCAACGCTCCATCCACTGAGCCAAACCAGTCAGGGCGGATCTCTTACCTTTTGAGAGAACATGGAGGGACCTGGAGAGTATTGTGCTAAGCGAAATAAGCCAGTCAGAGAAAGACAAGTGTCACATGATCCACTCATATGTGGAGTCTAATGATCAAAATAAACTGATGAACAAAATAGATCCAGAGACATAGAAGCATGGAACAGAGTGTGGGATCTCAGATGGAAGGCGGGGGAGGGTGGGTGCATGGGAAGAAATCAACCAAAGAACTTGTATGCATGTATGCATAACCCATGGACACAGACAATAGGGTGGTGGAGGCCGGGGGTGGGGGTTGGGGGAGAGAGGGGAGGGTTATAAGGGGTCAGTGGGAGAAAAAAGGGGACATATGTAATCCTTTCAACAATAAAGATTTAAAAAAATAAATCCTATAAGTGAAAAAAAAATGGCATGAAATAAATAGAAAAAAAATAGATCCAGAGACATAGAGGCATGGAACAAACTGTTGCATCTCAGAGGGAAGGCAGGGGTGGGTCGGAGGGTGGGTGGGAAGAGATCAACCAAAGGACTTGTATGCATATATGCACAACCCATGGACACAGACAATAGGGTGGTGGAGGCCTGGGGTAGGAGGCAGGGGTGGGCTAGATGGGGTCAATGAGGAAAAATGGGAACAATAAAGATTCTAAAAAAAATAAAACACCTTTATTGCTGTGTGACCTTGGGCAAGTCACATTACCTCTCTGAGCCTCAGTTTCCAGAAGAGAGTTCTTATGCCCATTTTGCAGTTGAATAAACTGTAGTGCAGAGAAGGCAATAACCTGTCTAAGGTCACACAGCTCCTGAGCAGGAGAGGCAGTGTCTCGCAGCCTCCACCACTCCAACAGCAGTTCCTGAAGGGCCCGCTCATCCCGCTGACGGTCCAGGGTTATTCAAATTGACCCATGAACAAACCCATGAATTAAGATAATTTTCACACGTGTTTGTTGACTTTTTTAAAAAAAATCCTCACCCGAGGATTTTTCCATTGATTTTAGGGAGAGTGAAAGAGAGGAAAAGACAGACAGAAACATCAATGTGAGAGAAACACATCGATTGGTGGCCTCCTGCATGAGCCCCGACCAGGGCCCTGGTGGGGGAGGAGCCTGCGACGGAGGTACATGCACTTGACCAGAATCGAATCTGGGACCCTTCGGTCCGCAGGCCGACGCTCTATCCACTGAGCCAAACCGGCTAGGGCATGATTTTAATGCATATTATATACTTGTGATCTCACTGATATGATTGCTTAAAAAGAGCCTAAGTTTAAACACATGAATCAAAATAAAGAAAAATACGTAGTATGTAATATAACTCACAGATTCGGCCAAAAGTGTGAAGGACGAAAGTGCAAACGCTGAAGTTTGGGTTCTGTTTTGGGTTCCCTATGGCTCCAGGTAGAAGTGGAGCGACGCTAGAATGAGTGCTAGGATTGCAACTGTTATGACTGTGAATCTGCGTGGTGCCTTACAAATGCGTGCGGAGGTGGAGTTGACTGAAAACCTCAATGGCCCGTTCGGAGGGCCCACAAGCCCTCACCAGGCCCCGCTTCTCCCCAGTGAAACCCAGGGCCCCCGGAAACCTCACGGTTAACGCCACCGACTCCCACACGTGGCAGCTGACCTGGAGCGACCCGTACCCTCCCAATGGTAGTCTGCACGCCAAGCTCTCCTACCTGGTCAACATTTCAAATGAAGACGACCCCACGGAGGTGAGTGGGCACTGTGGGGGTTCTGCACCAGCTCCTGGGACTCGGGGAGCGGAGACCCCGTCCCAGGGTGGGGGACAGAGAGGAGCCCGGCTGACAGCAGCCCCGGGACCTGGAGTCCCGGCTTCTGTCCCTCCACCCCTTCCTGGTGCCCGGTGCGCAGAGAAGGGAAGTGATTTGTGGGCCCTGCTCCTCCCGGTAAAGGAGGCTCTGGGCACAGCTGGGTGTCCCAGGGGCCGGGAGGGACACTGAGATTTCAGGAACACTCTCAGATGACCGAGTCCTCACTCAGCATCGGCTCCCTCCCGACCCTGACTGGTCAAGGCAGGCGTCTCAGCGGAGCTGACCGGCTTAGTAACCCTCCCGCCACAGGAGGAGGCGCGGCCCGGACACAGTCTTCCCCAGGACACAGTCCAGCCATAATTTAGGGCTGTCACTGGGTCTCACTGCGGTGACGTTCATGAGACATTCGTGGCGTCTGATACTTGCCTTCCGGGCCCAGCAGAGCCCGGTTTCTCTCTAGATGAGCCATGGACGCTTGCACAGGCAGTGCGGGTCTATCAAGTAGATACTAGCGGCCGGACGCAAGGACACAAGGACGGCGGGGGGCCGCTATTTTAGTTGCGGGGGGGGGTCACCTTGGGCCCGGCGTCCCCAGAACTGGGTTCCAATACCTGCCCTGCCGCTTGCCGCTGCATGATCTCGAGCTTGCACTTACCCTCCTTGTGCCTCGTCTCCTCATCGGTAACATGGGGGTAAGAGGACCACCATAGGGCTATTGAGAGCATGGAGTGGGTGACACAGCTAAGCTCCCATGCCCAGCACAAAGGATGTTATAAACATCCTCCTCCTTTTCTCCCGACTGCCACGGCCTTGGAAACCCT